GAAGTATTCCAAATATGAAATCTAAAATTAATTATATCATGCATGTAATCAAACTGAATACTAGCATGCATTACTACCTATATTCGTCATTGAATAAATATTTCATTTTACTTTTAGTTTGCTATGAGTATTAAATCACAATATTTGAACAGTGAGTTATAGGGTTGTGTGATTAATCGAAATCGAATCGCAGTTTGAAACGTTGCGATTAGCTAAATCGCAAGGGGCTGCGAAATGAAATATATTTGTATTATTTAATTTCCCCTGCCCAGAGCATCACATATATTTGTGATGGTTTTACCAGCAAGTGAGCAAGCACAATTAAGTGATGAGTGTCTTTGTAAAAAGCCAACTGAAAGTATTGCCAGTGACACTCAATCTAGTAGAAAGCTACAGCAAAGTAGAGAGTTGTTTAGCCATGACAGTTTCCTGAGTGTTCTGAATTTTTATAATTATTTTTTTTGTATAATATGCTACACTATCTGCCTAAAACGAGTTAAAGTTGTTTACAGAAAACTCAGGTCATTTTATTTGTGTTTACTGTTTGCTATAGAGAAAAAAATGTGTTTAATTTCTGAATATTTAAAAATAAATTTGAATAAATGTTGAAATAAGTTAATATCTTTAAGTTCCTTTTTTTAACTAACACTCAATGCATTTTAGCAGTAAGAAGCTATGGTATAGATTATTGAGCTAAAGCTTGACTACAAAATTAAAATCGCAAATCAAATTGAAAACACAATATCTGTCAATAAAAAAATAAAGAAATAAAAACATCACCAATAGATATTTTCCCTAAATCGCACCGCCCTAGTGTGTAAGTGCTATATTACCCGAATGTAACCTCTAAATGATGTAAGGAAGCCCTTAAAATATACCAAAATAACAAACAAAAATAGCAAACCAATGCCATGTCTGGTATTTACAGCAATAATCTGACATTGGTTTGATCTGGAACTTTTAAAATCAGGTTATCACTCCACATGTAGGATGTCACTAACTAATAGAGAGACCATCCAAAAATCTGTCTTTATTTACTTACATTTTATGAGTTCCTTTCATCTGTTAAACACAGAAAAAGGTATTGTAAAATATGTTGTTTTTACTTTAATCGAATTCATCTTTATTTCTACAGCGCTTTAACAATGAAGATTGTGCTTAACATTGAAATTATAGTACAATTTTTGAAATTATAGTATATAATTATAGCAGTATAGTAATTTCACTGCTGAAAGCAGTCCAAACATTGAAGAGGAAATGCATCGATGCGCAGCTTCACAAGTCCCAAACCAAACAAGCCAGTGGCAACAATGTCGAGAAACAAACTTCATCAATTGACGAAAGTGAAGGAAAAAAGCTCAAGACAAACCAGGCTCAGTTCGGCATTACCATTGCAATGGTTACAAGTTTCAGAAACCTGTAATCATTGACTTTTTTTTTTCTATAAAACTTCTGGGTCAATTTTTTTGCTTGATGGTCAGTTCAGACAAAATAAAGCACTACTAGATTACTATTATAAGTATTAAATACACTACATTGATCTATTACATGCACAGTGTCTAGCATTGATGGTATGCTGTAGCAAGGATGTAAACAAGGATGTAAACAACAGGAAATGCTATTTGGCACCATTAACTATTTAGTAGTAAATACACTACATTGTAGTAATTTTTATTATTTAATTAAAATTCAAAGATCTTAAGTTACGCATGGTCTAATGATTTAAAAAATACAAATAAAATTTGATATATGTATTATAAAATGTACATAAATTATTTAAAAATTAATCTATTAAAATATAAACTGAAATGTATAAACTATTAATTATTTATTTATAATTTTGTAGAAAAGATATATCCATTTTTATTTAAATAACGTAAACTATCACATGACAGGCTACTTATTACCTTTGAATCGTATATTATATACTAATAATAATATACTACAACATAATAATATTAATAAAAACAACAACAACAACAACAACAACAATAATACAATAATAATAATAATGAAATTTACTACTGATCTTGTTTAAACTGACCATCAAAACTCCATATCAGTCAATTATACAAATTAATAAATTAAGCATCTTTTAAGCTTCTAATACAGGGCTGCGTAATAATTCTAAATTATCTAAATAAATATCGATATAGGTGCAACAAATAAGTGTTTTAATACAAAAATCCTGTTGTAAAATTGTATGAAATAAAATTGTATGTTTTGCCATGTAAAAATTAAAAAATGTAATGTGCAATTGAAACAGCTTCATGCAACAAAATCAATACCTTCAATGACAGCTCAAAAGCAAAAGCCCAACCCGTCCGTGAAAACACATCATAGAGCTGTAAACTAAATAACCACTGTGGCCAAACGCTGCTGTATAATCCTCTCACCCATAACACAATTAGGCTGGTTAATGCACATCAGTGGGAGTTTAGCTCAACAAGGATTTGCTGTGTGAGCTCTGTGGGGGCACAGCTGCTTGAATAGCACTTCTGAGCACACTAGCAGAGGAATGTGTGCCCTCTAAATGAGCGTCTGAGGAATGAGACACCAAATACATCATGTAAACAAAGTCAGCTGCTTGTGAGTGTTAACATGTATTGGCGATCAAAGACAGACAGTGTGTGCTCTTCCACTGTAATCCAGGTAAACTGCAATCAGGACGTTTCTCATCACCTGTTTCTAGACACAAAACGTTTGCTTCCTTCACAGGCCATTGGTTGTGATAGCTTTCCCACAGGAAATGAATAGCATTTTACTCATAATCCAAAAAATGTTCAAATATAAACAATAGACTAACAGGTGTCAGTGGTACAAATGAGGCAAAAGTACATGACAATTGTGATTTAATCCATGTTCATATTTATCCTAGACACAAATACGCTTACCAGCCACTTTACTAGGTACACACTACTAGTACAGAGTTGGAACCCCGTTTGCCTTCAGAACTGCCTTAATCCTTCATGGCATAGATTCAATAAGGTACAGGAAATATTCCTCAGAGATTTTGGTCCATACTGACATGATAACGTCACGCAGTTGTTGCAGATTTATCGGCTGCACATGCATGATGTGAATCTCTTGTTCCACTACATTCTAAAGGTGCTCAATTGGATTGAGATCTGGTAGCTGTTGGGGCCATTTGAGTACAGTGAACTCATTGTCATGTTCAAGACACCAGTCTGAGATGATTCGCACTTTATGATATGGTGCGCTATCTTACTGAAAGCAGCCATCAGAAGGTGGGCACACTCTGGTCATATAGGAATGAACATGGTAAGCAACAATACTATGAAGGCTGTGGCGATGACACGATGCTCAATTGGTACCAATGGGCCTAAAGTATGCCCCACACCATTACACTACCAACCTGAACCGTTGATACAAGGCAAGATGGAGCCATGTTTTCATGTTGTTGATGTCAAATTCTGACCCTACCATCCAAATGTCGCACCAGAAATCAAGACTCATCAGACCAGGCAACATTTTTCCAATCTTCTATTGTCCAATTTTGGTGAGCCTGTGCAGATTGTAGCCTTAGTTTACTGTTCTTAGCTGACAGGTGTGGCACCTGGTGTAGTCTTCTCCTCCTGTAGTCCATCTGCCTCAAGGTTAGACATGTTGTGCATTCAGAGATGCTCTTCTGCATACCTTAGTTGTAACGAGTGGTTATTCGAGTTACTGTTGCCTTTCTATCAGCTTAAACCAGTCTGGCCATTCTCCTTTGACCTCTGGCATCAAAAAGGCATTTGCGCCCACAGAACTGCCGCTCACTGGATATTTTCTTTTTTGTGATCATTCTCTGTAAACCTTAGAGATGGTTGATGGTTTTGTAAAAATCCCAGTAGATCAGCAGTTTCTGAAATACTCAGACCAGCCGGCCTGGCACCAACCACCATGCCACTTTCAAAGTCCTAAATCACCTTTCTTCCCCATTCTGATGCTCAATTTGAACTGCAGCAGATCGTCTTGACCACGTCCACATGCCTAAATGCATTGAGTTGCTGCCAAATTTACATTAAAGATCAGTTGGACAGGTGTACCTATTAAAGTGGCCGGTGAGTGTATATAGAGAAAATTAAGAAATTAGTATTTTTTTGGAATATTGTATTTAATCACAAACAATTTGGATATTTTGACCGCTTGACATTTTCTTTCTTTACTTTCTTTTTTAAAACTCTGAATATCAATGTTGATGTAATTTAAAAGTTGTATTAGACTTTTTAAAAGGAAAACAACTATTAAAATTGTAGTCAAACAGGCTAGTAAACCCATAAATTGGTATTTCCAAATCGTCTCTCAAGTTCTTCCATATATGTACGTGTATAAAATCCCCAACTTTATCTGCCTGTCAAACGTTCATGTCCCCTTCATTCTGCAATAAAACACATTAGTATCATCTGATGCCACAACCGTAAAGTAATGATGTGCAAAGTATGTTAGACCTAAAATAAGTTATGAGCATCACATGAAGGAAGTAGGGAGGAAACTGATTAACGTTAGTTAATATTTTACTCTTTCAAAGTTACCTTATCAATATAAAAGCCCTTCTCAATCGTCCTCAACGTCACAGTGACAGAATGATCTTACAGACTTCATTTGCAATGGGTTATGTCGGTCAAGGTAATTAAACCGCAGTTTAGCTGTGTTGTTCATACCGCTGTTGTCAAAAGTTTAATAAGAGTGACGGCCGACTCTGCGTTTAGATTCAGCACACACTCACACGTCCATAACAACCGCAAATAACAACGACGGACAGTTGACAAACTGCAGAACATATTTTATACGCTTACTGAACATGTTCATTGGCTTTCCTGTGCTGGTGGGACGTTAGCCGCTGCTAGCGCTGCCCTGCTAATGCTGCCTGGCCTTTTCCTTTGGAAAAACAGCAAAACAATTGAACACAAGCGCGCATTCCCGAGACCTGCAGCGCACTAAACACAATTTGCGTGCGAACAAAATAGCGTATGTAATAAAATAGCTCGTCGGCTTACTGTAATGGTGTACTGTGGTATTTGTCCGTGTTTCCTGATTCCTCGGTATTCCTCTTTTCTTTGACTGGGGTTGGAGGAGTTGAGTTGGGATTCGGGAGGGGTTTCCGCTCAGCTCCAGCGCTGCCACAGGCTTATGACGTTTACCACACGACCCTCCGAGCCCTGCAACTGTTCCTGTGTGTGTGTGGTCAAGTATGATCACTGCTGTGTGTACCTGCCTTAAAGGTCTTTCCTTGAAAGAAGAAGGCGGACAGGTGTTCATTTAATGGTCACTCACTGACCTGACACGAGGGGTGTGGAGTAGGAGACTGCAGGATTTCTCGATTATATACACTCCTAAAATGATTGAAAATCTCAATTTAATATACTTTAGAAACACTTCACTTAAAGAGAAAGATAGTCACAGCTTATAGTCAGTGAGTGTTGATTTTAAATGGATGGTCAGCAGATGCCTGCCTGTCTGACGAATACCAAATATCCATCGCATGTAATTAATTATAGAAACGACCATAAGATGGCGACATTTCCTCTAGTCTACACGCACCAGTACGTACTCATTACTCTGGGCTTAAAGGGACAGTTCACCCAAAAATAAAAATGTACTCAACATTTTTTACTCACCCACCCTCAAGTGGTTCCAGACTTTTATGAGTATCTTTCTTCTGTTGAACACACAAAAAGCGATTCTAAAGAATGTTGGAAACCGTTTACACCCATATTAGTAAAAACAAATAGCCTATGGGCAACCAGTTTGCAACATTTTATAAAATACATTTTTCTAAATAAACACAGAAGACACTCAAACAGGTTTGGAACAAGTCAAGGAAGAGTAAATGATGACAGAATTTTTTAACTACTACTAATTACTGTGTTTATTATACATGTTACACATTATTTTGTTCTTTTTAATGTAAACTTTATAAATGCTTTGACACTACATTTGTTACATTTGTCATGCCAATAAAGCGATTATTGAATTGAACTGAACTGAATTAAATCGAATTGAATTGAATTAAATTGAGAGAGAGAGAGAGAGAGAGAGAGAGAGATACTTAAAAGGGTGGTCCAGAGTGTATTTTTAAGGCTTGGTTTGGTTGTGTTTATAAAGTGCAAAACAATGTGTGCGTATGCTTCATTTGTTATAAAAAATAACATGATATTTTTTTGTATGTCTTTAACTATATACTGCTACTCAGCTAACATGAAAATGGCGTCATATTTCCTAGTTCCTCCGAAAGCCCGCCTTCAAGAGGCTCTGATTGGTCAGCTAAAATAATGTGCTGTGATTCTCAGATCAGTTCCATGTCACCAGGAAGTGTCGATCCTCTACTAGCAAAGTGTAAATAAGTTAGAGTAAATACTGTTTGATAAATACTGGTAAATATGAACTTGTAGCTAAATTGTTAATGGTGTCAAATAGCATTTCCTGTTGTTTACATCCTTGTTTACATCCTTGCTACAACATACCATCAATGCTAGACACTATGCATGTAATAGATAAATTTTAAATAAAAATACTTACAGGTTGAGGCTTACAATCCACACTTTCTGCTATTATGTTTAGAGCTGCTCCTTCTTTAAGTAGTTTTAGCTGAATCCAGTACTGAACAGGGAAAGTTTCTGGAAGCTGTCCTTTGTCAAATGCTACCTATATATTTTTTTATAACTCTCTGGAGCATTCATTCATTAATTTTCGGCATTTTGTTGGCTTAGTCCCTTTATTAATCCGGGGTCGCCACAGCAGAATGAACCGCCAACTTATCCAGCAAGTTTTTATGCAGCAGTTGCCCTTTCAGCCGCAACTTATCTCTGGGAAACATCCACACACATACATTCAAACACACACTCATACAGTACGGACAATTTAGCCTACCCAATTCACCTGTACCGCATGTCTTTGGACTGTAGGAAACCGGATCACCCGGAGGAAACCCACGCGAAGGCAGAGAGAACATGCAACTCCACACAGAAACGCCAACTGAGCCGAGGTTCGAACCAGCAATCCAGCTGTGAGGCGAAAGCACTACCTACTGCGCCACTGCCTCGCCCTTTCTCTCTGGAACATAATTAAAATTAAATTGAAAGCACTTCTCTCTTTGTGTCGTGTCCTTTGGAAGCCCAAATAAAGAAACATAGAAGCTCTGTGGAAATATGTCAAATGAATGCTCCTAACCTGAAGAATTTTGGATCTTATTAGCCCACACTGTAAACGATTTCTGTTGTTTTCACGGTATTATACTGCATTTCTCAACAGTTGTTTACTGTATAAGCTGTGCACAGTGTGTTACTGTATATATTGCTGTTTTCACAGCATGATAATGTATTCTCAACATTTCCATACTGTGAACATGGTTAACAGTATGCTACTGCAGATTTTACAATGAATTTGGGGAAAAAATCAGTTACTGTGCATCTAAATACAGTACTGCAAATGACCATGAAAAACTCTACACACACTTTATATTATTACTATTATGTTTATTTTATTTTTTGACAAAGTATTTTGTGAAGAAAAATAAACTAACCAGTTTCTTCAGACTGTTCAGTGCATAAAACTGTCCCCTGGTTTTCCATTTTTGGGTGTACTGCAACTTAATTTTATAAGGTTAACATGAAAATATTAAATAATTTTTAATCAACATAACTTTGTGCTTAACCAAAACGTAAACTGGAACAAAAGTAATTGATTCATGAAACCAAAGTCAGCTTAACTGTCAGAATGACCAGCCTGCTTTAGACGGATTCATGAGGATTGGGCACCCGTCACCATGGAGGTCACATCTCCGCATTTTCAAAACAATATTTTAAAATACGCACCATCTCTATAAATAAACCACAGACTCGAGTTTAAAACAACTACATTCCCGCATGAAAAACGGTTAAAACTAAATTTCATAACACATTCATTATAGAGCCATCTAAGACCGGGGCAAGTCTTACATGTCTAGCCGATTATAACCTCGTTTCGCCGGATACATGAGTGATGATGGACACCCTGGAGGAATCTCCGCTATCGGCAAAGCACGCTTAAAATTTACACATGATATCTATAAATAAACCACAGATTTGAGTTTGTAAGAACTACATTCTCGCATGAAACACTGTTAAAATTTCATTTCGTGACATATTAAACGCAATATTTATAATATTAGCTGGGCTTTCTCATCCGCCATTACCATTTGCTTGTTGATGTGAAATGAATTCTGGGAGAAAAAAAAATATTAATTCTCAAAACACTTCAAACGAATTTTATTCTTATTGTCAACGTCAGATATATGCAATAATTTCGCTGGTAAAGTGAATAAAAAATAATGTTACTATATTGTAATCAATATCACGTTTGGACTGATTCGGTTCAGCTCTCGAGCGACTCTGAATCGTATTGAACCGTTTGCTCGGGAATTATTTGATCACGTGTTCACAAGCACATTCAGCAATATGCAATTAGTGTATAATTAATGCGTGTGGCAAAGCAGTATTACGAAATAGTAATGAATCATATACAAAAAGGAATCGGTTTTAGGCGGATTCAAATCTTTACTGTTCACTAAGGAGCCGATTCATAGAACCGAACGGACACGACTCGACCTGCAGGCAACGGCTCTCCTAATTTGAAATTCACCTGTCGTCTTTCATCCAGCGAATTCATCCTCGGTAAGTGTTTTAAAGTCAAATTCTGTCCGTTGAAGGATTGTTTTGTATATATTTCTGTGTATTGAGTGTGTAATTTAAAAGAATTAACCAAGTGACAATAGTTGTAACGTTAGGTTCTTATGTTATGTCACGCTCGCCGTTAACGAATGGTATTTTAAACAAGAAATAACAGACGCCAGGCGGTCATTGTAGTGTTTGCGAGGTATAGATACAGTGAGTTTATCTTTAGTGAGTTTTTGACCATACGCTAAGTTACCTGAAAAAACATAACTTTAACTTATTGTAACTGCATTAATGCATTCTCTATTTCAGCACAACACTGAGATGAAGGCGAAGTCACCATGAAACGTTAAACGTTTACCGTTAAGGTAAGCTCTGGTCTTCACATAGTCATTTTGACTAAGCTATCATTATGGTAAAATTTTTCAACTTTAAGTTAGTTATTTAAACTAAACTCATAATGAAATGAGTCTTAACTGTTTTATTAAATGGAGCTGAAAATTAAATGCAGTTGAATTATTTTAAGCTAAAGTTAATATTAACAAAATACATATTAATTGTCTATTTCTCAATAATGTTAATGAGCTTGATGTATAGTGTGTCATTAATTGTACATTTAATTTTTGGTGTTCAGGTGTACCTGAGGTGAGTGTACGTTCTGAGTACACAGATATAACCCAAAGTCATTATCACTATATATATATATATATATATATATATATATATATCCATCCTATTCTAAGAGAAATTGATGGGGTCAGGGAATGATTTGTGTACAAATGTATTTTAACCTCATACAGATTGGTATGGTTGTACCATAGATTTAGATTAATTAATGTTAAATCTTATTTTACTCTTATTATATTTATCTGTTTTTCAGCTACAGTAATTGATGTTGAAAAACTGATGCTACCAATCACTCCTCACTTGATTATTCAAGGTAATGTTGATGTCTTCCTCATTTTGATTAGATTTTTAAATGTCAAGTTGTTCACAGATTTGTTGTGAGGAGTTTCATGTACAACCTCTTTTTCTTCTTCCAGCAGTTCCTAAGATAAAAAAATCTGGTGTTAAAACATCCACGGCTAGGCTATTTGCCTACCAAGTGCTGAGTAAATATTAGACAAACATTTTTTTCTATAACTGTTGTCTTTGTGTTTATTAGCAATTTTACTGGGCATATGTGTTTGTTTGTTTTTTTTCAAACAGCCTGGAAACTGTAAGTTTAGTTCAATATGTTATTTTATGCTATTCATTTTTGTCTTAACATGGATTGCATGTTGAAGCTATCGTTTCATAGTGGGAAAATGTAAAAGAGAATCACTGAATACAATGGCATAATGATTCTGCTTGTTCACAGAAGGTACTTGATTTAGTTTTCCTCAAGCGACACATCAGTTTTTATGACTATTGCTTGACACTTGAATTGAAGGGACAGTTCACCCAAAAATGAAAATAATAGCATCTTTGGCATTCTCCACTTGTTTCAAAATAGTTATATATTTATTTTGTTCCGTTGAACACAAACTCATATTTTTTAAAGAAATTTGGTTTAAATATGGATGTCAATAGTTACTGGTTACTAACATTCTTAAAAATATCTGCTTTAGTGTTTAACAGAAATTCAAACTAGTTTAAAACACGTGGAGTAAATAGTGGCAAAATAGTAAACTATTCCTTTAAATATTTTATTCTGAGACTTTTATTTATATGTGTCTTGTCTTTTGTCATATTGTCCTTCTAGCCCAGATTGTGATGGACCTGGAATGCGACACCAGTTACTCTTAAGACAAGAACCAAATAAAGCACAGATGTGGAGGGATTTGCAGCCAAACTAACTGGAAGGAAGGAACCTTTAGGTAAAAACACCTGCTTTATTTAGATCTGAAGTATTTTATTTGACATAGAGATTTATTGTTTTAATTCTA